TTGAAGAGCAGGAAAAAACTGAGGCAGAAAATATTGCCTATATACATTCCCAATCATTGCAAACTTCTTTAGCTTGCATTTGTGTTACTTACATCATTAATCTGAAATCATTCCATGGAATAACCACTCAGTGCATAATCTGCCAAATGTACTAAAAAAAGCCTACATACATATGATTCATCTCACAAATATAAACTTAGCATAAAAGACTTTTGATTTACTTGGAAAATGACAAATGATTTTAGCCTTCCTTTCCTGTACTGTAAAGAGGTTTCACTGTGAAATTATATCTAAAAGCAATAAGGAAAAAGCAATTTGATTGGTAAATTCACAATCTACATTGTTGAAAGGAAAATAACCAAATAACAAATGATAATATTCAAATAAAAAATGTAGGAAATATTCCAGTCTACTCACATGAGAAAAGTTAGGGACGGATGCAGTCTTCCTCATGAGTGGCCTTCCAGCCGACTGGAGCAATTCTTTGACGGCTACGTTTTGCCGCAATCTGTCCAGCATTAGGATGGATTCCACTGACGTCACCCCCTTCGTGTATTTTTCTGGTTTAAGGAAAGTTGCTTTGGTGTTTAAGTGTTCTTGTAAAGCCAAATTTATTTTTTGTGACATATAATGGTGTATTATTTTGGTTTGAGCACAAAAAGGCATTTGGCATACATAAAAAACCTAAAAGGTTTTGGAAAATTGGTTTATTTTAATGGTTCTAAGAGCCATCAGGTATACTTATAAAAGCTAAATATTTATGGTGCATTTTGATGCTCTAGTACAGTGAAGGATAGTAGTTATGAATATCAAACCAAATGGTTGTGATACATTTTTTCCTTAATTATATGTAGTTAAACTACCCAAAAATTACTTGTATTCAGGCAGCATATCAGTTTTGATCTAGGAGACTAAAAGTATACTCTTAACACCTTGGCAATGGGTGACACATCATAAAGTCATGTGGCATCATCCATGCATGGCAGACCAATGATTTACATACTAAAATTCCCCTTTATACAAAACAATAGCCAATTATAGCATCATACATCCTGTTCTCCATCAGTCAATGCCCCAGGCCATGTGGTGTTCATATGAGAGTTCATTATAGGGAACAGCATAAAATGTACTGCATCATAATATAACATAAATGACCTGTCGCCCAAAGCTGCATCAAGTCACCTGTGATGTGAGTAACACATCACCCGGAGCTACGACCAACTCAGCCATGACATGAACCTCATGTCATCCTACGAGTTAATCAATTCCAAAAATTGTAGATTTTTCATAAGTACATTCAACATGTGTACTTTAAAAAATAATAATTTTACTTCAGTATACCTATTCCCTGAGAAAATTGTGTCTCCTGAATATAGATTCCTAGGATCCATCAGTTTTCAAAGCTCTGGGATTATCAAAACAAAGTGTTATGTGACTAAGTATCAAAATAAATAAATCATATCCAAACCAAACTCACCAATATACGTTTCTCCATCTTCTGCATGAGAATCATCAGCATTAGCTGCCATTTGGGCAAGTGATTCTCGTTCCTCCAATTCTTCACTTGCCTGTGCAGAAAAACAAACAAACTTGTAAACCAATCGCTTTACTGGATCTTCAAGAATTAGCACTAACTCAGGAAAAAGGAGCCTTAAATGTCATCCCACACATTCACCTTTATTCAGTTTACATCTATCCTATTCTCTTACCTTTGGAATGTTTGATACAACTTCATACATGATACCAGTTTCATAAAGGGTATTTGTTGAGCCAATGAATGACTTGACAAATTTGCTTGTTAATGACTGTTTTTTATAGATATTGACTGCCAGACGTTTCCTTAATACCATATCCATTGGTGCAGGGTGCGAGAGACGCACAACTGCTTTTACAATCAGGTACACTCTTTCATCGTCTGTAAAAGATTGAATAAGATTTAAAACCAGGAAGCAAATCACAGAATAATAACAATTTAAAAGTTTAAATGATAATGTGAACATCAAAAAATGATGGAACATCATTCCGTAAACATTTAAAAAGATTTAAAAACTTAAATTTAAAAACAGAATAACAATTAATCTCATCTTCAGCACTAAAATAAATACTCATCTTATTGCACTGTCAACTTACTTGGCGTGAGTCTATTGAGGTACTGGTTGTCATGGATGGAAGAATCCCAAGAGGCTACAGCACAAACATCCTTTTCATAACATTTGATAATTGGCAACTGGAAGAATTTGTTGCAGTTTTCCTTTGGAATTATGGCATTCGTTCCAGCAATGGTCATGGTATCACCAAAGCCTTGTGTTGAGAAGTCATCAGCTGAAAAAGGATAAGAAAAGATAAATGAGGTGTAAACAATGTCTTTTATGGAAATGCATTGCATTTTCCCCACAATGTTAATTCAAGTGCATATTTAAAGTGCTTTTGGAGGTAAAGTTTAGAATGTTTTATATTTACACTCAAAGTTTATTTATGAATATCAGGAAACTAAAAGCCAGCCCTGAGACCAAGTGGCTCATAGGCACTTTAAGGGTTAAGCTTTTTTGATATACTGAATCATCAAAGGTAATCATAAAAAGATGCAATATCAACACATTCACTCTTTATGTGAATAACTGAGGGGTAACAGCAGTCAATATGGATTACACATATCTCCTTTTTCTCCCTACATTTACATATGCGTATGTTTTCCTATACCAGTGAGTGCACAGATGCATTCATGTGTGAATCTATTTGTATGCTATCTGTTTATCTTAATGAACACGTCACTCACGTCTCCTACTTACCATTTAGATCAAGGAAAAGAACTGGGACATGAGCCTCCATGCCTGAGGGTGGATCCCAATCAGCTGGAGCGCCTGGAATGTTGGATCCAGCGGCAGGAACCAATACTGCATTTCTCTCTTCTGTTAAAGTTACCCACTGATCCACAAGTGACTGTTCACGCTCCACATCGTGCTCATTTTTGTCCCCTTTGTTGATAATTTTTTGGATCTGAAAAAATAAATATAAATATAAATAAGCATACACATACTTTAGAATATAAATTCCTTATCCAATACCTCCAAATCCAGTTCCAATAATCTAATATAAACATCCAAATACAACTTTAAGATGATATCATGACAGACTTTTCATGTTCACTTTCTGGTTTACCTGTTGGTCTAAATACATTCTTCTTCGCTTCAGAGCTTCACTCCATCTCTCACGAAGAATATTAAGATCTTCTTCAGTATACGAGTCTAACTGCCGCTGGCATCTCAGACGTCCGCATACTGACCCAATATTTATACTTGTTATTGCCTGAAAATACAAAAATCAGTGTTAATCATAACAACAATAATAACAAGATTATAATCTAAGCAATTAACAAGCAAAAATTGACATGGTGGTAACTATTTACCATTTTTTACCTGAAATAATATATTCCTACTCCTATTGGTTAAGAAAACTAGGGAGCTCATACTCAAAAGGTGTTTACAAAGTTACATAAGAAATGTGAAGACAGGAAAGAAAATCTAAATATTCAGGTCATGTGTATAGTGGTTTATATCAAAATAACATTATTGATTTTCACCACTGAAACTATAATCACAATAGTCATTCTTCTATGACCGATTACTTATAATTTTCAAATTTTATAGTTTGTAATATAAACTAAGGATATTGGCTTTACCTCACATATCAATGGAAGAGTACCAGAGTTGGAAACAGGCTTCACCCGGCAAACTACCCGCCGCTGTTGCCCTTGACGCAACTGGTAAACACCGCCAGTTAAAACATCTTTTTGTGGTAACACCTCAACAGAAACATAGTCTCCACATTCTCCAAGTTCCTGAATCTCGACCCACATCTCTATTTTCCTTGTCAATTCGTTCCATCTGTTGACAAATAAGAACAAAACTTTTAAATCAAAGAAAGAATAAAATGATTATATTAGTTTTTCTGCTTTCCAAATGTAAAGTAATGATCAATACGTTATTTAATTTTGAATAAATTTCAAGACTTTATTTCCATGATTCTTACCTGTCAACAAGAGACCGAGCCTTGGCCAACTGTTGGTCAACCTCCCAACCAGGACGTGAAATACCAAAGCCAGCAGACCTGTGACCCCAAACCTCAATGGAGAGAGCACCGTCAGCACAGTGCTCTAAGAGGTCTTCTGTGACCATGACTGTATAATCTTTTGAATGTTCAAACTGGAAAAGAATGCAAAATATATAAGCTGAGTTCTATGCTACATCTCTAAGCAGATATCAACATAAAAATTTTAAAGTTACTGATAGCATGTGTTACAGAATTAATCCTTCTTCTATTGTCTATCATCTGCAAGGAACAAAACTGAGATGACAAGAAAAAGATAGAAAAATTGGCATCATACCTTAAATGTCATTGAGTCTTTAGAAGTTGGAGCTGCAGGAAACTCATTATTGACAACAGGTGCAACTACTTCACTTTCTGTCTGTCCCCAAAATTGGTACTGACAAAATACAAAGTGTGACAGAGAAGGGGGAAGTCCAGCTGCCTGTTTGATGCATACCTATAAGGGGGGAACAGAAAAATCTTTCAGTCTGATGTTTACAAATTGGCTCTGACATCTAACTGGCACTCTGGCCAATTATGTTTCCATAAAATTCCTTGAAGAGCTTTAGAAGTGAAACAAATAAGGTTAGTACTTCTAAGGGACTACTACCAAATATATGACATGGTAATATATGGCATACAAGGTAGGTTGTTCCCATTACTATCAGCATTCAAAAAGCCCTTTATCTACAAACAGTAGTTAAAGAAAAAAAATCTGAAAAAGACACAAAGAAAAAGTTTCTCACCCTAACTGTGACTGTATTATTCTGAATTTCTTCATCTTCTCTACTCTGTGCAGAATCTCCAGATGATTCAGAGAGGGTGTCTGCAAAACGCTCTTGTGGGAATTGACCAGAAATGCGACTTATTTCAACCTGGAGAAGAAAAAGGGATGCAAAAATATAATTTCAAAAATATTATAGTAGTGAGAAAAACATTATCTACTTTCTATCTATGAAACAGAATGAAAAAGATTTAACAAAGAAAGTACCTGTAGTCTCCCTGCCACTTCTCCTTGTTGTGAGATAATTGGAATGTGGTAATTTAGCCGCACATCATGGAAAAGGCAATCTAGGAATATGTTTGCCACTCCAATAAGATTATGATTTTCCTGACTTTCGTAAAATGGATCCGCTTCAGGACGGGACACCAGGGGGTCATTTTGCTTTTCATCATACATCTCACGCATCACAATCAGTTTATGTTCCAGCTTCTCCATTGACCAAACCTGGAAGGCAATATAGCAGTGATAAGAGATTGTTATTCAATTTGGTGAACTCAGATTGAATTTGGTCCTTGTGTTTATGCCATGACTGATTTCAGTACTCTGATTCTATTCATCATGTAAACATTATTGAATTTTGCAAAGCTTTTTAAAATATAGACTTTGTTTGTACAGTAAGTCATAGTATTGAACGAATACCTTCAATGAACTTCATCTCCGCATTACCTGGTTTGGCTTTCCTTTCCTCTTGACTAGAATAGCAGGCTCACTGACAAATGCCGACCTCTTCCTGTTTGGAGAGAGGTTCTGGGGAGGTATCTGGAGGGTCACCCCAAAGGTCGTCTGCTTGCCCATTTCATCCGCAAAGAAATTGGCTTCCCGGACTAAGGTATTGGCTTTCATGATGTCTTGCCGCAGCTGTGCCAGACTCCGTTTGAACATGTCCTCTCTGCCAGGGTACAAAAGAGATGTGTGCTCCAGCATGTCCTCTCTGGAGTATAATGTAAAGAGTCAATAAGCATTCCTTAGTTTACCTACAGCAGTAAAGGCATCCTGTCAGAATCTTTATCTGTTAATACTCATGCATTACAGTTGGTGCTTTAGGGAACATATAAATTTGGTGCATTACACAAGAATACATAAAAAAAAATCCAAAGGCATACTTCTTTCATTTTGCAATGATATTTGGGAACACTTCCAAAATTCAGCATTAAATATTTAAAATAATCCTCTTAATGAACATAAACTGCAGTATGTTCCCTTATATCTCCTGCATATGCAACACATATAGCAACAAACTTAGCCAAGACCATACAATGTATATAGTTAATAGCTTAATGCTATGACACTCAATATAGAAAAAAATAAGCTATGTGAATCAAGCTAAGGAAAGACATTAAACATGACATAGAATACACAGAATTTTAAACTTTGCACATAAGCATAATATCACCAAGCACATTAAATTAGCAAAATGATAACAATAACATACACAATGAAATAATAATAATGACAATACTAATAATCATAAAAAGGTTAGTATATTTAACTATTATAAGCTTTATGCATTTTATGCTTTAGGAGAGTTAAATAAATGTTAGTTTCCTGAGCTAAGGCAACAAATTTGTAAATAATAAAATTCAACTGTCTCCTTTAGAAACATTTTTTAATGATATTCAATTCTGAAGAACTGTTTTCCATGAATCATGTTATGTATTAATCATACTCTAAATAATATATCTTCTAGTAAGAGTATCCTACATCATCATTTTATAATTCTTCCTAGGCATAGTTGATCCAAAATACTTATTGCTTTAAATTACTTGCTAAGGAATTGTTAATAGTTTGGATGTAATTCCCTTTCTTTTACTAATACCATTAATATAGCACATGGACACATTGTTACTCACAAAGACCCATACAGACTTGAAGCATAAACCAACTTTTGACTGAATCTAGCATCAACATGGGCTGGTTTTAAGTAGTAGCTTAGCCAGTCTTAATATCTAGTCCCTGTGAAATCCTTCAGCACATATCTTCTAAGTATGCATTTTTACTGAATGCAATTCATACTACAAACCTCTGCAGAATATTTCATCCATTGTAGAATATGGAACATAATATACTTTTTACATTTTTGTTTAAGTACCAAACACAATATCTAATATATAAATCTTTCTTCTAGAATCACAGGTGAGTGTAAGTCTTTTGGTGAGCTGAAGCCTATTATCATCAACAGAGCAAATCAAAGTAACATACTCACCAAAACATTAAACTTCAAATCAAAACATCTATTTCTTTCCTTTCCTTTCTGGCATGACTTTCTTCCCTTCTCTTTTCTTACACCCTTAGCTCCATCTTATGAAAATTAGTGCTGATAGGGTAGCATCGACTTAAAATCCTTTTTTTCAAATATCATTTCATTTTTGACAAGACCTCTAATTCCTAAAGAGAAACCCATTCCAGACACCTGATCCACTACAATAATAATAAAACCAATAATGTGATGAGATATTCTGATCTTCGTAATAAATACATTCTTACAAAAGAAAAAAAAAAAAAAAAACTGTAATAGAATAATACCAAATAATTACTGCAAAACGTTGCAATGTAATTCCTCACATTTTTTCATGAACTCCAATAGCATATTAGGGCAACTGAAGGACTCTATGTTGTAGAAGAATTAAAACTCATATTCTCATTTACACTGATGTATAAAAACCTCTATTCTTTGTACCATAGACTGTGAATATTACTGGGTCTCCTTTAGTGCTGATTCAATTTAATGATAAACAATTTACCAAAAAATATATCAATTTCTATCTGTCACTGGTGCTGCAATAATTCAACTTTCCAGAAAGGGAAATAGTAGTCATTAAGCAACAATGAATTTATTTCTGTGAAATCTACCACAGGTAATCGCAGTACAATCATCAATTTCTAATTCTTACCAAATGCCAATCTATCCAAACCCTTCATAAAATAACAACCTTTACTAAAATAAAGAAAACTAAAGAAAGACCTTGAACTTGATGCTACAGTTAAGACTTGATACAAAACAATATGATCATGCAATATCACATACCCAATAACATGGCTAAAAATGAAATGAAACCTAACTACAGTAAGGCAAAAAACAGTTTGTCTCTTTCCTTCCTGCAGCTGCATTTCCCTTCATATCCAAGACAAATAAAAATTAATTATAACCACCAAGGCTTTGAATGATCTGTCAAAGAATCATGGCAAGACCAGTTTTTTTTTTTCAATTCTTTCCAGATCTGGAGAATCTTTTGACTTTTGACTACAACTAACCAAAGTATTGATAAATAAGATTAGAAGAAAATAAAAGGTTCTATCATAACACATTCTTTGGAAAAAATGTACAAGAGAGAAATAAGAAATGCTAACAATGACCTACATACCATCTATCCACAAATGTAAGATCAAATATCTGATCACAGTTATAAAAAAAAAAAACATATAAACTAACATGTACACTTCTTATTCCGGTCTATGAAAGCTGAGTTGAATAGCCTTGAACATTTTGGCTTTGTCTGAATATCAAACAATATAATAACTATGTTGCTGAACATACACATACACATGCACATGCACATACACATGCACATTTGTTCATATACTTCCTCCCTATGATTACTGCCCATCTTTTGCATACTTCAAAGTTCTTCCTTGTAACTTTATCGTACTCTTTACCTTTTATTTTTCTTATATGGTATGTGTCCTTCCTCCATTTCTATCCTATGATTTTGTCTTCAAAAATGTATATTGTTACATCTATATAAAGTCACACACTAAATCACTTGTTTCTACCAACACGCTCACTGGTATGAAGGTATTCCAGTAAATCAAAACCATTACTCTGTTTAGGGTATGGAAATCTTTTCACTCTATAGAATAAAAAAATATATATTTCTTCTTAATTCAAAGATAAGCAAAATTTATCTCAACAATGTATGAGTATAGTACTGAAGAATTTGGACTGATAATTTGAAAAAAATATTACAGATCAAATATACATACACCAAGAATTTCTATATTGCAAAAATATTCTTTTTTAATGTTCATTTCTACAGTTTTTTAACATTGTAGATATAAAAAATCAAAGGGCAATATATAAATATTAGAATGCTACCCATAAAATCCCATCACAGGATAACTAAAACAAATACCAAATATATATATCAGACATGCTTTCTTTTGTCAAATACCATCTTCAATATATTTCTATATCATACTTTGTCTACTGCTTTCTTTGCCTTTCTTGAAGCCATGTTACTAACTGTGCTTGAGCTTTACTAGCCTCTCCACACTTCATTTTACCCATTTTTTCAATGAACAAATATTCTCACTTTCCTTATCATCATATCTAACTACAATCTGTCTGTTTATCTATATATATCTATATCTCTATCTGTCTCTATTTCCCTAAATTATTATTCTCTTCCAAGAAATCTCACAGAGTCTTACCTTTCCTGAGCCCATTTTTCTATCCGAAGCTGAGATGTGGGAGTAGAGGGAGTCATCTTGGTTCCCCTCAGAGGGTCAAATGGCATATATGGTGCATAAGGAGTTGTGGGGGATAAAATGTTTCTCAGTTGCTGGAACTGTTTTTCATATTCTTGTCTTTGTTTCTCCAAAGCCACTGAAATATAGAAAAAAAGATTCATATGATGTATATAGGATAATAGTAGCATATAAAAGAATGCATAACATCATCAAAGTAAAAGAACAGGAGCAATGGGTGCTTGGGTGCTTCCTATAAAACACAAGCAAAGTTCAAGCTATTTGAGACTGGTTTGAGTGCCTTCTACTAAACCAAAACTCAGTTTCTCTAGAACGTCTTTTGTATCATCATCTTGATCTGTGTGTATGGTACGGACATTCAAGGAAGATCTACTTATACCAGTAAGACAAAGACACAATGTCAATCTGATCAGTTCAGTTAAGAGCTGCAGAACCAAAGTTGATTCAGATACAGTCCTAGCATTAAGCTTTAAACATTTTTGGCTAATCAACTAGAGAATATCATTGACCTGTAACCTTTAGATCAGGAAATCAGAAACAATGCAAACACTGTAAAACATAAGCTATTAGTATGATCCTCATCTGCTTCATACAAAGAATGTCACTGATTTATAAACAGTAAAACTGCACTCCCATGCATCCTAATAATCCTGTCATGATAAAAGGTGACATTAACTTTTTATATATCTTTACACTTCTATATACTAATGAATTACTCAAAGCCTCTTACTTTGTTTATCTTCTTCATGTTGACGTTCAAGGTTTTGTATAGCTGCCTGTATGGGGTCATTACTAAGTTCCTTCAACATCAGTTCCTCACGGGCAAAATTGTAGTCAATTGGTTGAGCAGGAGTCTGAGGCTCCGAGTTGTTGCCACCTGTGATACAAAAGACAGAATTGTCTTATCTCAGGACAATAATCCAAAGAAAACTATAATAATAACATAATTATTATATTTCAAAAGTATAAGCACAGGAAAATTATCCTTTCATATCAAAACCATAATCAAAAGAACTGATAAACACTTCAACATTGGCCTACATTCTTTTCAGTAGCAAATGACAGCAACTTACCAGTACTTGTCTTAGGACAGTTGACTCTGAAGAAGTAATTAAAGCCCCACAATATTCGGTCTCCATGCCTTAGCTGTAGTTTTTCTGTCACCTGGTGCATGGAAACGATGTTTTACTATGTTGTTTCACATACTAAGCCAATCATTTTAATACTAGGATCTTGTGATGAAATAGTAGTGGTGATAGTAGTAGTAGTAGTAGAGTAGTAGTAGTAGTAGTAGTAGTAGTAGTAGTAGTAGTAGTAGTAGTAGTGTAGCAGTAGTAGTAGTAGTAGTAGAAGTAGTTGTAGTAACAGTAGTAGTAGTAACAGTAGTAGTAGTAGCAGTAGTAATAGTAATAAAAGTAGTAGTAGTAGTAGTAGTGGTAGTAGTAGTAGTAATGGTAGTAGTAGTAGTAATAGTAGTAATAATAGTAATAGTAGTAATATAGCAGTAACAGTAGTAGTAGTAGTAGTAGTAGTAGTAGTAGTAGTAATAGTAGTAGTAGTAAGTAGCAGTAGCAGTAGAAGTAGTAGTAGTAGTAGTAGTAGTAGTAGTAGTAGTAGTAGTAGTAGTAGTAGTAGTAGTAGTAGTAGTAGTAGTAGTAGTAGTAGTAGTAGTAAGTAGTAGTAAGTAGTAGTAATTGTAGTAGTAAGTAGTAGTAAGTAGTAGTAGTAGTAGTAATTGTAGTAGTAATAGTAAAGTAGTAGTAATAGTAGTAGTAGTAGTAGTAGTAATAGTAATAGTAGTAGTAATAGGTAGTAGTAATAGTATAGTAGTAGTAATAGTAGTAGTAACAGTACTAGCAGCAGTAGTAATAGTCGTAACAATAATGATAACAACAATAACAATAATGATAATAATAACGATAAGTATAATAATTATAATAATAATTATAATAAGAATAAGAATAAGAATAAGAATAACAACAACAAAACAACAATCTTACCTGAGAACCATTGACGCATGTTCTGGCATTGGGATAAGGTTCTAGGAATAGATCAGAATTTTCTATAACCAACACACTGTGATGCGTCTCTATGCCAACACCTGAGAGCTGAATGTCATTTGGCGTTGACCCGGCATCAGGTCGCCCAACAAGAGTTCGATCCTGAGGATTTTTTAAAAATCATGCGTCATTACAGGGCACTGATACATATGAATTTGTAGTACCACCAAAATTCAACGAGACAGGAGCAATGGTTACCCCCAACTGCCTATAATCTTTCTATTATCAAATATTCCACAGCAAAATCCATTTAGCCACAAAGTATTTCCCGCTAAATCTAACCTTCAGATAATACACAAGCATTTCATTGAGGGAAGGATCTGCATTGAGGTTCACAAGGTAATACTTGTTCTTCTCAACGCTAATGCCAGATGCTTGTACACTAATGCCCATCTTCTCCAGGGCTTGCTGTCTCTCCTGCTGGACACGTTCTGAAATGAAATAAAAGAAAATCACAATAAATAGCAATATTGAGACTATTAACAACTATAATATCAACAAAAATAACCCTAACAACAATAATAACAATATCAACAGTGATAATAATAATGATAATAATAACAATAATAAAATTAAATTATAGTTATGACAATATTAACAATAATTGCAAGAAAGATATGCAATAAAAAATAAATAAATAAAAACAGTAAAAGTAATGACTACCAATAACAACCCTCATAATCATTGTCATCAAAATCATCAAAATTTGTGTCTTTTGCTGAGAAACATAAAACAAGAATTCCACAAAACCCTGTCAAAATTTGTTCTATCACAAACAAAATTTTCCCAGTAAAGAGAACAAATAGCTCTTCTAGACTCAACCTTATTCATACTTTCCTTTCGACAATGGCCTCGAAGAACCCCTGTCCAAACTCACCTGTCTTTTTCAACTTATCCTCCCACGTTTCCGAGAGATTGGTAATAAGCTTCTCACTCTCATGCAACTTCTCATTAAGACTTTCCTCTTCTTGGAGGGAGGCATGGCCGTCTCTTGTCACCTGGCGCAGAGACTGAAAAGGTGGACAGAAACGTTTTGGTGGACTCTACTGACACTACGAACAATTCAAATAATGTCACATTACTCTGGCTTGTTATACTAAACAACTTCATCTTTCACAGTGTTTGTCTTTAAGGGGGTACAAATACTCCATACACATAAGAAAGACTAATCCCCAATTCAAAGGTTATAAATAGATCCAAATACTTCTTCTCTACAATACACGCACTTAAAAGAAAACAAAGAAAATCCAGAACACTACACAAAATGCCCCACCTGCAGTTGAGTTCGCAATGTCTCCACTTCCTCGCGCAGTTCCCTGATGATCTTGGCGTTGGGGTCTTCGTTGACGACGGCGTGGTTGACGATCCTCTTGGCCCTGTCCGCGTACCTCAGGGTGGACAGCGTCTCCTCGTAGTTGTCGGCCGCCGGGGACACCGTGGCCACCATGACTGTGCGACTGTTGCCTCCGAGGTTGTCCTGGAATTGTGGCATGGTTTAGGAATATAATGCGAAAGTATGAACAAACAATAACTTATTGAAGAGAATTACCATGATGCACAGAGAAGGAAAGAGAAGGTAAAAGACCACAAGCATAACTGAAACTGCTTACCTTCAGAAGCCATGTTAGGACAGAATCACGATAAGGTATAAAGTTATCTCCTTTGCTCTTTCCCCTGCCAACAGCTGAGTCTGCCAACTTCGATATTACTAAACCCAGAGTTGTCAGGGATCTAGTTATAAAAAATAAAACAAAACATTTCAGTTGGAACATATGTGTATATGCGCCATTGATTAATTAATTCCTTCTAATCCAATTAATATTAACTAATAAATCATAGCAAATGCTTTTTTTTTGGATTCTACGAAAAATGTAAAAACAATCACAATATCATTTCAGCTACGTGTAAAAATAGGTCGTCAAGCTCTCTATCCAATAACGAACATAATTCTCAAAAAGCAAATCGCCGACCATTTTCCACAGAGAGAGAGACATGAAACATTTCAAATTCGATAAATATATTCCATACTTACTTGTTAATGTTGGAACCCTCCTTTAATCTCTCGCCCACGGCCCCGGTCTTCACTGCCCGCTCGGAGCCGGCCAGATCCACCAGCGACATTTTGGAAACCTAAAGGACATAATGCTGTATCAGGCCTCAAGTATGGAGAGTATGTAAAGGCAATAAAACTGCCAGGAACTGAATCTCACACTCATGCGACACACACGAGCGCACTCATACACACACACACACACACACACACACACACACACACACACACACACACACACACACACACACACCACACACACACACGCACACACACACACGCACACACACACACACACACACACACACACACACACACACCACACACACACACACACACACACACACACACACACATACAGCACGAGAGGAGAGCAAGAGAGAGAGAGAGAGAGAGAGAGAGAGAGAGAGAGAGAGAGAGAGAGAAAGAGAAAGAGAAAGAGAAGAGAAAGAGAAGAGAAAGAGAAAGAGAAAGAGAAAGAGAAAGAGAAAGAGAAAGAGAAAGAGAAAGAGAAAAGAGAAAGAGAAAGAGAGTGAACACGCCCCCTTCGCCACCAACTAAAACACTTCTCACCTTCTCCCCAGACACGCCCGAGGCAACATCTGTCATGGTCTGGGTGAGCACGACGGTGAACACTGCATGAGACCGAGAGGATTCGCTGTTCATGTTTGTGGCTGCAACTGTCCTGGCTTTGTTTCCTTCCTCGATCAGCTGCTCGATTTCCTAAAAAAGAAAAAAGCATCTACATGAAACCCCTTCTTAAAAAAAGTCTTAACAGAGTACCAAAAGCTAAATGGGATTAATCACAATGTACAGGAGAAAAGGAATATTAGATAATGGAAACATTATCACTGATAATGACATTACATCACTGACATCAACACTAAAAAAACATTATACACTTCATATTAACAAAATTAATAGCACTTATAACAAATCTATAAGAAAAAAATGAGACAACCTATAACGCACCAAAACCCGACCCTACCTCATACGACGAGACGGCGAGAAGCGAGAGGCCGTCGACGTAAGGACCCAGAATATTATGCTCTCGCACCTTCAGCGTCTGTCTGGATCCTTTGGGGTCGAGCAAGTCATGTACCTGAGGATAAAGGCGTCAAGTCAGGATTTCTCCGAGTCCGAAGGTGAGAAAGTCACAAGACATGAATCGGTGCTGGACAAGAGTTTCCTTCCTGGAAGATGTGTTCCACTTGTTTTTATTTATTCATATTCTTTTCATTTGCTGAGAGATTAGTGTGTCTGTTTTTGGATGCGTGTGAGATAGATCGTAAACGTAAATGTATGTACGAGTGTACATATGAGCATGCGTGGAGAGTGCAAGCATCCGCGCCCGCACACAGAAAGGGGCGACAGTCTCACCTTCTCATTGTAGATCTCCATGTACGAGACTTCGACCTTGTGCGAGGTGCTTTGTTGAGCGCTGGCAGCGATCCGCTCGAAGAGGGTGTCGCAGAGGCGAGGGATCAGGCCCTTGTTGTCCGCCGTGCCCATCATGGTGTACGACTTGCCAGAGC